TGAATGATGGAGGGAATTACTTCTAGGGAACTAGGGATATTGCTGTAGGGGTGATGATGCATTGAGGCTGTTTGTCTTGAGTTTCCTGAAGTCTTGAAGACCCTGCCATGGATAGCTTGAACTTTGTCATTGGTGATGCTCATATCATGCCATGGGTTTTGGAGACTTGAGTTTCTTTCTGTTTGGATGGTTGAGAACATCAAGAAATCTATGAATTTATCTATACAATGACAATAGATGGTTCAATAATGAGATTAGTTTTATTCAAATGATTTTTTTTTCAGGGATCAAAATAGATTAGTTAAACCTCTCAGGTCCAGTGCTGAATAACATTTATGTATAACTTCTTCATAAGGGTAGTTTTAAATCTATAGTATTACTTCTTAAACTAGAAATGATTATGTCTGCATTTAACAGCATTCCTGATGGTCAAACCACAACAGTACTTAAACCTCATGAACGAAGTTATGTAACAGTACTTAAACCTCGGGAACAAAGTTGTTAGAGAGATCAAAGTATAACTGAACTAAAAACTTAAGGAGACCTAGTTATCTTTCCTGACATCCTTTCATGTCATCATACAGGGAGTTATCATGGTTGCTTTACAAGTTCGTTTGTTATTAATCCATGTTCTTTTCTTATACTTTCTGCTTGATATTAATTCTTGCTTGCTAAAGTTTTGGATCTCTTTGTAAATGATATTCTGAGATATTATTGCAGGCGAGGAAACTCGAAGCTCAGTTAGATGAGCAGATGAACTCATATCGTAAACTGGCATCCTCAAAGGGTTCTACAAAAGTCGATTCTGCAGAGAATGATCCTGAATCTGGGATAGACCGACTATTAAAACAGCTCCAACAAGTAAATTCACAGATGCAAGCATGGGTATCATCTGGAGGATCAGAAATGGTTTCTCACACCTTGACTCGGCATCAGGAAATTCTTCAAGATCTTACTCAGGTACAGTGGCCTTGCAGTCAATCTGTGAGCTTTTGCCTATGGTCCTCAATTATCTTGAGTTTATTTAAGTTGACCCTGCAAGAGGCAAACATCTGTTCAAGCTGAGACCAATTCTATTGCTTCTTTTTTTCTTTTTTCTTATGATGGGTTTTCTCTTTATTGTTTAATGTCACTACAAATGAAACAATCAGGCTTTATAGCTCGTTATCATTGGAAAACCAAGAATACCTGCAATAGGAGGTATGATGTTAGTTTGTTACTGATGGAGATAACTTGGAATTTTTCTGGTTTTCACATGGCAATGTTAATAAGCTGACATGTTTGACTAATAGTTTTGAATTTGGGCACCAATGATGGATTTATTGTTTCGGTTATTGCTCTCATATTCACATGCACAAACCTGTTAATAAGCTGATGAATTATTTGGTTTCCAATTGAACAATCGGAGTCCATTTCATCTTTGCTGGAATAAACAGAAACATAATGCCTTTATTATTATGCTTTTCTTGCTTTGGAGTTGAAATTGATAGATGAAAAACTAAAAAAATTCGATGATAATGGCAATCTTCTTTATTAATTCCCACTTAACTTCTTCTTTTCTGGCTTTTACTCCTTAAACCAAATGCCCCCCCTCTCGAAAAATAAAAAGACACACAACAGGGAAATGTGTAATCTTTTGCACGTCAGTGAATTATATTCATTTTAACTAACTTGGAATTACACATGATTAAGTGCAGGAGTTTCATCGTCTCCGTTCTGGCATGAGAGCTAAGCAAGAACATGCTCTTCTTCTGGAAGACTTTAGGGAGTTTGATCGAACAAGATTAGATTTGGAAGATGGTGGTGGTTCTGCAGACCAAGCTCTCCTTAGAGAGCATGCATCCATTAGCCGAAATACCGGTCAGGTACTTGCCAATGGGCTTTTCTTTTTTTGGTAATGCGTTTGTGTTATCACAAATTTATATGGGTGTGTGGACTTCCACATCCTCAATCTATTATACATCTCCTTTTCTATTGCAATGAAACACTTGGCATTATACATTTAAAATCATAGAAACATTGAAACATTCAGACTATGTTTGGAGCTGTTGTATGGTTTCCCTCTCATGCCGTCCCAAACACTTTAAGTGCTTGCTATACAATTTCTCTAATTTTCACGCTCCATGTCAACATGCATATGCAATCTACACTGTTTTTATGAAAAAAAAAATTCTGAAGCAGGAAATTTCAATCATGACTGCTATTTGCAACTTGTGCTTTTTGGTTAAAGTTCCTTGTTCCTGATGCTCTCGTGCTGCAGATGGATAATGTGATTTCACAAGCTCAAGCAACTCTCGGTTCGCTTGTTCTTCAACGTTCAACTTTTGGAGGAATTAATTCAAAGCTGAGTAATGTTAGCAGCCGCCTCCCAACGGTATGCAAAATTTAGCTCAAGTGACTAATAATCTTTTAAATATTTCTTGATCACTGAGTGAAGCTATGTCTTGAATCTCTTAAAGGAAACCTTAAATAGACTTGTTTCTTTTTTGCGTTCTATAGCCCATAAATGGTGTAAAACAAGTTGAGACGCTTGATAATAGGTTGTGTTGTGAAAAACCTGCAGCAATTAGCGATGAATATTGTAATAGGAGAGAAACTTGAAAGAACACAAGATTTAACTTGGTTCGGCAATGTGTCTATATCCGCAAGAGCAAGGAGCTTTTATTTTTCACTATGTTGAAATAGAGTTGAATAGCATGTATTTATAGTAGATCTTAAGAGCTCGTTTGGCTCTGCGGCTGCGGCTGCGTTTTTATTTAAAACGTAGTTGCAGCCGTTTGGTTATAGAAAATGAAGGTATACTGTTCACTGGGTTCCATTTCTTTTCTGCGTTGGAAACGCAGTATTTGAAAAGCAAGAATTACTTGCTTTTTTTGCACTGTACACGTAATTACACTGTTCAATGAACAGTGCAATTATCAATACCAAACACACTCTAAACCACCCAAGAAAACGTAGTCACCCAAGGAATCCTAACCATCCAAGAAGTATTAATAATTTTTTCTGACATCCCTTTACTGTTGCTGAATAAAGCTGCCAAATAACCAACTGTTAAAAAAATGTATATTGATGGCATCTTTTGTAACGGACAGGTATCTCCATTAGCATGCTAGAATAAACAAGATGGCATCACTTTAAGGTGATTGCTTAACTGATGCAGGAGCTTTTTAGTAATTTCCTTATACTTTTGGTTTTCTCATTTAATTTAAGACTCATGGCTGTCATGTGACCTATAGTTAGAGGTTATGATTTTAACCAAGTATAAATAGGCTACTAGGTTCATTTTAAAGGACTTTCTTTGTTTTTTTATGGATCTGTTCAGGCTTTAGAGGTTTCTTATGAACTCTAAACCCAATTATCTTGTTCCAACTTCAACTCCCTTTTAGTTTCTTAGCCATTGTTCTGCTATAATTTCTGTTTACTATTGTTTCCCCTCCCCCCGCCCAATCAAATGATATATTTTCCATTACTTCAACTTTCATATACACTTCCATGGATGTACTTGCAATGATTGACAAGCTTCAACTTAACTTTGCAGGTAAATCAAATTCTGTCAGCAATAAAGAGGAGAAAGTCCATGGATTCCATCATACTTTCCCTGGTTGCTTCCATATGCACTTTTCTTATTTTTATTTACTGGGTGACCAAGTAAGAATTTCATCGTGTACATGCTTGGAAGTTGCTTGTGGGCAGACAACCCTATTTTTTTAACTTTTTTTGCTCTAAATTGGATCAAGGAAGGTTGTATTTTTTGTCCAAGTCTATATTGACATCCCTAGTGGTTAATGCTTTGTATTATCACCCTGTAGCATTAATGATATGCCTTTTATAGGTCAATACAAAATTCTTGTAGACGAAAATGATGAGAATGATCTGTCTGAAACTGAGAAATTATATTGACATTTACTTTCACAGACCCGGTACACAGCCTTGGATCAACTAGGGTTACCAGATAACCGTGGTTCATTTTGTCTGTTATTCATGAAGATGATGGTTGAGCTTGCATTGTGACATCATTTGAATCTGCATTTGAGCATCCAACTCAGAAAAGAAATGAAAATAGCTTGATCTAGTCTAGGGCAGAGAAGAAATAGTGCGTGTAATATTGTGTTTGTGGATGGATAGAGAGAATTTTAAGCATGCAAACCGTGTAGGTAGATTACACAAATTTAGTCATGTTTTACATGGAGGCCTCGAGTTTTGGTGCTGTGAGTTTTCTGTAGGCATGAGGTAAATGTTCGGTTCTAATCTTAACAAGTTCTACGTGTTGCTGCCATTAGCGCAATCCTCATCTCGTGTCCTTTTACTATAAATGTGCTGCAGCATCGTCATGGGATAGGCTGTTATTTTTTGGTGAACAGTGCTTTTAATATCAATGGTTCAACAGTCAAAACTAAAGTTGCTCGTCAAAAATATCAACGCTAACTTCACCTCACCGTGCCGAAGACCAGATTATGAGAAGAAACAACACCACATTCCCGGTGGTGGTGGTGTTTTATGACATTTCCTCACAAAACATGAACCATAAAGTCATCCAAAACTCATCTGCAGTCCCTATCCCCATATTTTAACAAGAGGTGGGAGCATTCTCATGGTGTAAGAATCCTGCACAACAAAAAGTCGGAACAACCTTGAGGCTATACCTATTAAACTTGTTCCAGGTTAAGCCATGGGTTAATGGTTGGATGGGTTGATTCATATCATAATTAAAATTATGATCTTTTGAAAAAAATAAAAAATAAAGTTTAATAACAACACTTAATAATTTACTTACCAAATCGGTTCATATACATATTTAAAATCTATTTAAGACCTCAATCTAAAACACATGAACACCCACACAAGTAAAATAATACATTATGAAAAAAATAGAATATAATACATTATAATTAAGGTAAAATGTAGTTTTAATAATTCAAGATACATACAATTATTTTAATATATAACAAGTATCAAATAAGTATTCAGAATAATTACAACCAACATATTTTGAGAAATTGCAACTTACTAATTGGTTAGAAAAAATAACGATAGTGAGAAAATTAAAATCACTCGTGGCTATAAAATGAGAAGAGGTTCAAATATATCACCATTTCTTTCCCATTCTTTCAAAGCGAACCCGAAAACTTACAAAATGGGCGACAACGATGAAGACCCATGGCTTGCCCCAGATAAGCTATACCATGTCCTCTTTTGTCTCTCTCTAACCCTCCTTTTCTCCAAGCTAGCCTCCCTCACCCGCTATCCATTTCTCAAGCGCCACTCTATTCGGGTCGGTGCTATTCTCTCCCTCTTCGCCGGCGCCGCCAAGGAGGCAGCCGACCAAATTGGCCTCTTTCCCTCCGCTGGAGCCTCTGCAAAGGACGCTGTAGCCGATATCATTGGCGTATTGATTGCCGTGGCAGCTCTCTCCATGCTTAAAAGTAAACACTCCGATGGATCTGATTCGGGGTCGGGTCAGACTCGGAGGGTTTTGCCCATTTGATGGCCCATTGCGGCTGAATTGTTTATGGGGTTTTTTCTTTGGGTAGAAAATTGGTTTTGCTGGGTTAGATTTTGAAGGGGGAAAGGAAATTATGTTTGGTTGCTGAGAAAGTGAAGAAAAAGAAAGCAAAGATTTGGGTTTTGAATTATTTGTTTTAGGGAGAAGACAAGAGGATTGCTTGAGGTCAGTTTTCCTATCTTGTACCTCGAAAGTTTAAATCTTTTAGTTTTTTTTATGACATTAGGATTCACGAATGTATTGCTATATTCTACGTTGAGATAAATAGAAGCTAGCATTAGCACCTTTCTTTATGCTTTTATATTGGGTTTACTGCTATCTTGGTGAACTCTATTTGATTGTGATTACTGGTAATTTCTGAGAAGCAAAAGTGGCTCTCTTGAATAAAGTAGTGCTGTCCTTTTTAATCTTCTGGCGTCAAATCGAGAGTTAAATTGTTTTTTCAACCTTTTGTGTATATCTACTTCTACTGGAAAAGAGGATTCATAAAAAAAATAAAAAGAGGGAAAGAGGAATGCCGAATCACTGTGTACTATGGTTAGTGATTCTCATGTTTGTGGAAAGACAGAAAATTGTTAGCCTTGTTACATATGGATTGAGATATGAGCCTTCGAGATATTAGTGTGGCTAGTTGCCTGATTGCATAGAATTGTTTTAATTGGCTTGTATGTATCTGGTACTGTACATCTTTCATAATTTTTGTGACCTAATGAAATACTTGAACAACAGACAAGTTGCTGTCCGCGTGATAAATGTAGATTGTGAGCTTCAGGGTTTGTGGCACAAGGGTCTGATGGTGTTCAATTTAAATGCACGCCTCCCACGCAAAATTTTCTTTTCTGTGTCTGATGAATTTTTATGTTTTGACTTTCAAATAAAGAAATTATATTGGTCACTACAAAAAAAATAAAATGTCACATTATAAAATGGACAGTGCTGTAGGGTTTCCACTGTGTCACTTAATTATGGCTGGTAATATGGAGTTAAGTTTTCTTTCGCAAGGCTCTCTATGTTTAGAAACTTGATCATAGCTGAAAGAAATTATAACTGGTTATATTAATGAATGCATGTTGTTTGGTTAAGCATTAGGGTGGAGTTCCATGATGCAGTAAATCTAAGTGCTTTGGAGGCAAAATTTTCTATCCCTAGCATTGTGCCACTTCTTTCAGTTATTCAACGGAATTTTGATAGCATGATTATATCATCAAAAAATATTCAAAATGTCCGGATGTATTAATCAAATATTTTGGAACAGTCATGTTACTGTTAACGAACCTGGCTTAGTGCCGTTATCCCAGATGATGTATTGATGTTTAAGATCAACTTTCCTTTTCTCCCTGTTCTGTTCATGGGAGCTTCAAGGAGCATTGTTTTGTTGTTGATAAGTATTTTTAGATAAGAAGTCTCTTGGGGTATAAAGATTAAAAACCAATATTCAAGAAATTGTGTCATTAGAAGTTAAGGAGGCAGAAGGCGGTTTTAGTAAGGAAGAGAAGAAAAAGAGTAGTTTTGGAGCACCTTCCTAACATTTTCTGTTGGAAGACATTATTTGGAGGCCTAAGGAGGGTGGTGGAAATATAACAAAGAAGAGTGGCTAGGTAGCGATATGATATGGGCATTGGATAACTAGTGTGGAAAAGGAAAATCAGAAAGGAGAGAAAATGGAACGACCCGTCTTGAAGCCCTCAAGTTGTGTTTCTTAACCCATTTTATTACAGAGTTTGTTGTCATACTTGTTGGCAAAGGGCAAACTCTTTCTTTCTGTCTAGGTTAAATAATGGCAATAAGCATCGTTCTCATTTAACCTCTCCATCTCAAGTGTGTGCCCAGTTTAGTCTCCTCATGTATTTCAAGACAACGTTATATCACTTCCATCTGAGATAGCTAGCACCGCAAAGTAATTTCTTCATATACATTGGTAAAAGCCAACATATTCACATTTCATCTTAATTTTTTGTATAGACCCACCAGAATGCAATGTGCAGTAGCTTCATCTCGTTTTCTTCATCTGCACTTTATCTAACAGCATTTTGGGATTATTTGTGCAGGTTTGTTGATCATGTTGAATAATCACCTCCTGAAGCTCCTTGTAGCTGATGTTTTTTCATTAGCATCACCATCTTCCTCAGGCAGCTTGACAGCAGAGTAAGTTCCTGCTCCACACAATGCCCCGAGGATCGGAGCAGTGAGGTAAACCCATATGGCTTTATAGTTATTTGCAGCTATGGCTGGCCCTGATGTTCTGACTGGGTTCATTGATGCCCCTGTTGTTTCCCTGCACGAGTAAAAGAAGACAGTCCAGTATGCTAATGATGTTTAGATGTTTTGATTTATGCAGTATTTTTTCCTTTGGCATAAAATTTAAATGAATAAAACAAATGCTCCATTTACTATTAACCACTTTATGCACAGGAAAACAGAGAATCTTTTTTCTTTTGCTATCTTTATATTTTTAATATTTTATTTGACACAAACTGTCATAAACATGGAGAAGAATGGCCTGAATCATAGATCATTTTCAATTTTGACAAATGGGAACGATCTTCAGAGGTTCTGAACCACAAAAAATTATGCTAATTGTCATGTCTCTCGCATCAGCTTGCATGGAAGGGTTTGTCTATACCTGAACTGGAATGGTTTTTGACTCAATAGCTTTCTTGGATTCGTTCTATTTCAAAAATCTTCAAGTTGTTGCTAACTATAGTGCTTAAATATTCATCTTTGCAGTGTTCTGACCTCACTGCTTTTTTCTCACTTTTAGTTTTTGGACTGCCCCAATTCCCAAATCAGATCAATAGTACAAAAATAACTGAAGAGTTCAGTAGAGACATACCCGACTATGAGTATGTTGAGCATGACAGTAGCCCCTACCGCGATTCCCGCCAGCTCCCCCGCATGCACATGGCCATAAATCTTGTCACCCCTGCCATGCTCATCAATTTATGTATATATTTCAATGTGTTGTGTGCAATTGTGATTATATAAAACATTGGGGAAGGGGGGTTGCTATTCTTCTTGTGAACTATTATGGATAGGATATTTTATGTATGCTTGATCCATCCCACATTAGTGCTGTGCTTTTTGTATGATATACAATATTGGACAAGAAAAGGAAAACAATTTAAGATGCACATTTATGTGGGAGACAGGGAGAGAAGGAAAGTGATAAATCAGTGCATATTTTATTCCTGTAGATAAATATAAAATTGATCTCGATCCATTCTAGGGGTATTGGTTCTATTAATCAATGTTACTATTGGTATTATTTATTCATGGGAAGATGAGGGGTTGCGGGGTGCCAACCATCTTATTTGACACTCGTCTTTCTATTTGCGAAGGAGATATTTTTATTGACTTCTTGGAAAATATACAAGTGATTTTGAAGGGGAGAAAGAGTAGAGAGAGAGAGAGAGAGAAGAGGGATATTTAAAATGTTTGGGAGGTGGTTACGGTTATTTTTTAAAATATTTTTTGCTTGTTTGGGAGGTGGTTACGTTATTTTTTAAAATGTTTTTCATATTAAAATATATAAAAATAATTTTTTTAATTTTTTAAAAATTATTTTTGAGATCAACTCATTAAATCAATCCAAACTACATAAAAAATTAATTTTTAATAAAAAAATTAAATTTTTAAAAACATTGTTTATATAGCTAATAAACTATTTATATCCATGTTTATAATTATAAAACTTGGCTCTACTAGCAAGTTGATTTAAAACTCAAGCTATCTAGGGTTTTAGCCGGGCTATCCAGGGTTTTAGCCGGGTTTTAATAAGCAAAACTTAAGTTTTCAATTAATTCAATCAAACATAGATGGCCTATCGGGTTAATCCAAAATTCAAATGATTTAGTGTGCTTGAATGAAATTTAACTTTTTTTATATTTTTTTATCAAACAAAAAAAATATAAAATTAATTTATAAATATTTAGCTTTTTAATTTTTTAGATTACATCCACGAGAATTAACTTTTTTCAACATGGGTGGTATATTGAATTAACAATTAACTTTTTTCAACATGGGTGGTATATTTATATATTTTATTTTTTATATAAAATATTAAAATCTCAAATATGCTTTTTAATTTTTTTTTGAATTTATTCAGGTCAACCCATGTTACTTAAAACCCGACCCCTTAAATAGTTCAACCCAAGCCGAGTTTAATAATTATACTTAAAACAATCTATGATGAGATTATCTTTGAATTCATCCATCTGAAAACTGTTGTGTCATTTGAAATGTCTAGTGGAAAAGGGTTTGCAAACTCGAGATGAGTTAGAAAGTACTTACAGCTCTTGTGTAGGTGGCCACAGCAGTGACAACAAACATGAGGATAAAGCTAATAATGAACTCCAAAGCAAAAGCTTGACCATGTCCCCATGAAGGAACCGTGACTCCCCCTCCCATCATAACGTGAAATATCACCTTCAATGCAAATGCAGCACACAGTGATGCTTTTCTTGTACATGTTTCCATGGAAAGTGTTTCAAGGCAGCAAATGCAATGGTGATGGATGGGTTGAGATGAGCTCCAGAGATGTGGCGGGTTGATAATATAACGATCATCGCAGCTAGTCCAGTAGAGGTAGCAAGGCCGATGAGAGTCTCTGGACCTTGTGTTTTTTGGTTAACAATGGCTGTGGCCGTCCCAGCGAAGATCAGTATGAGAGTGCCCATGAATTCAGCTCCCAACTGCATGTTCTTGCATCAGTATCACATGAATAATTAACACTAAATGGAACATCGGTTCTATTACATTTTTCTTGATTAATATTGGAACTATCATGGAGTCATCTACACACACATTCTCACCTTTCTAGCAAGTGAGACAGGAGGAGGGGGTAATGAGCAAGAGACGAGAGGTAATCTTCCTTCTTCCATAGCCCATTCTTCAACAACGAAACACTTGCAACTTCTCGATAGAGATTTTCTACCGTGAACGCCTCTCTCCCCCTTAAACCCACCAGAGAAAGGAGCACCTGGAGTCCCTGGTGTTGCTGGGGTTGAAGGAGCTGATGGAACCTCTTCATTGTCCATAACTCTAGCTAAATTAGCAAAAACAGTCACAGGGCTATATAAATATTATACTATTAGTAAGTGCAAACTAAGTAGTGGCTATATACTCGGAATTTGCGATTGCTTCTCTATGCTTTGAAGGAAGTGGGATAACTGATATATCTAGAACAGAAATAGAGAAAAGAAGTTGACTTGGAGAATCCCTAGAAATAGAGAGAGAGAGAGAGAGAGAGCTGGTGGTTGGAACTGCTGGAGATGGGAGGTTTGTAGCCTTTGGAAGTGGACGGTAGGACATTGCAAGAAGCCCTGTGTGGAAAAACTTGAAAAAAGAGGCTTTTATCATGAAACATGAATCGCTGATTTCCTGTCTTTGCCACTTTGGATTTTTTATACTCAATTATTGAGAAGATTAGACCACTCTGTGAGCTATTTTTTTATTTAATTAATGTGGGTGTCAACATAAATTTATACATATTTCAATTAATTTTATAAGTAAATTTATGCATATTTCAGTTAATTTTACAAATTCTAAAATTAGAGATATTAATTTTACAGATTCTAAAATTAATAATTATCTAAACCTCTAATGATTTTGAAATTTATAAAACTCAAATTATTAATTTTAAAAAAATAAATTTTAAAACCTGGCTAGTTAAACTTTACCCTTCAAGATCCATTCCGTGAGCTTCTTGTTAGACTCTGTGCCTGCCTTGATATTGTTACAGATCTGATCTATATATAGATTAATTAGCCAACCATGCTAACATTCGTCAACAATAGTTGGCATGACTCCAATATCTTAATCTCTTGAATCTGCCAGTCAAGTAGCTTGTAGAAGACAAAAAAAAAATGTTTCCCTCTAGTAGCTTTGTTTAATGTTCTGAATTTTCTATGCAGCAGTATATTTCTTCGATGAATAAATTTAAGCAACGTACTTCCTGTTGCTGCTAGCATTACTGGAGAGAAAAAAACAGAGTAAAATAATGCTTAATTAGTTGGCTATGTGTTCATGAACGTGCAACTAGTTGTTGACTAATGTATTAAGAAGTGAATCAAGTGATGCTCTGGAATCTTTGATAATAACAATCAATGAAGAATTCAAAATTCACTTAAGTCACTAATATATTAATTATACCAGTAAACGATTATTTCTTATTGCTGAATTTAAACCAAGATATGCGTTCTTAGTTTTATCACACTACAGAATTTTTAGATTTTCCCATAAATTTTTTTTGTTAGTATCTGTACACTCATTCCATCGATAATAAATTTACTGGTAGGTTTATAGATAAAAATATTTCATTAATAACACTTTTATCAATAATTTTTTATTTGTTAATAATAAAATCACCAATTGATTTCTTGACTGCAAAAGCAAGTCAAAAAAATTTTCGCTAGCTTCATTCTATCATTATTTCCCCTATAAATTTTGTTATATAATCAACATAAATACCGTATGCAATTTTGTTAGTGATTAAACAATAATATAATAATATTTGCAATAATTCTTTTTTAACTCTCTAAAATATTAGTGATTAAACAATAGTATAATAATATTTGCAGCAATTCTTTTTTAACTCTCTAAAATATACCAACAGACTTAATCTATTGGTATTATTTAAAATATTTTTAAAAACTTTATTTAACATATATAAAAAATAAATTAAATTAATATAAATCAAGACTCAATAATACTCGAGAATTGAGTTACTTGGAAAAAATAAGAAGAAAATCAACTCAAATAAGTTTGCAACAAATAAATAACACAAAAAACAAACAACATCAACAAATAAATAAATCAACTAAAATTATTTTCCACCTTACCTAGAAAACCTATTCCATATCTCATTATCCAAAAACAAATAAATTAATTTAATTAAAATTAAACAACAAAATTGAAAAAAAAACCCACAAAATTGATCTTGAATGAAAAACAAATCCTACAACAACATTTGTACAATTATTTATAATATAAAATTTTAAAAATAAAATAAAAATATATAATGAAAAAAACAAGAAAAGAAATCTTACCTTAATTTAATTGCGAGAAAAGCTAGAAGAGAAAATAAAAAACAAATTTAAAAAAATGAGAAGAAGAAAGAAGAAGAGAAAAAACAAATTTAAAAAATATATTAATTAAAAAAATGAGAAGAAGAAAGAAGAAGAAAGAAAAAGACATACCTACATATTAAAGAGAAGAGAAGGAGTTGAGGAGAGAAGAGAAAGAAACAAAGAGATGTTGATTTTTTTTACAGAAAAAGAAGAAGAAGAGGGGTGTCTGTTATGAAATAAGAGATTCTGGTCTTTAAATTAGGGCATTTTACCTATGAATAATTAAATATTAATATTTTTAATAATTTTGTTAGTGATTTCATCAGTAATATTTTATTTAAATTTTTAATTTAGTGATTTCATCATTAATATTTTATTTAAATTTTTAATTTAATAAAAAAATTTCAGAAATCCCTCAAATATCACCAATGACTTTTCAGTCTATTAATGATTCCATTTGTAATATTTTATTCAAAATTTTAATTTAATAAAAAAATTTCAAAAACCCTTCAGATATCACTAATGACTTTTCAGTCTATCGATGATTTTGTTTATAATATTTAAATTAATAAAAAAAATTCAGAAACCCCTCAAATATTCCCAATAGCTTTTCAATCCGTCCATAATTTCATATTCAAAAAACAGTAATTAAAAGTGTAATTGAGAAATAAACAAAACTCTTGTGGAAATACCAATGGAATTAATTTCATCAGTAATCTCGTATATAATTGACAACATAAACAATGCAATTGAAAATGAGAGCTTTGGAATATATCGATGAAATTAATCGATCAATGATATCCTCTATAATTAACATAGTGAATAGTGCCAAGGAGAAGGAACGATTTCAATGCTTTCTAGAATATACAAATGGACTTATTTTTATCAATGTAAAACAGTTTTTGTTGTCATATTGTATTTGTATTTCTTATTTATCCATCTTTCATATTCTTAAGATCATAGCAACACATACAACACAGTAACACCAATTCTGTGTATAATAATAAAATCACAGAAAATAAATATTTCCTTGTAATTTAATAATAAATTAATGTTATTGT